CTCCTGCTCAGGCTGGGGAGCCCTGACCCTTACCAATCATGCCGTTGACTGTACCGAAGAGAACTGAGCCCTGTGTTGGTGTGGACGTCTCGCCCAGGTTCTGCATGACCAAAGACCCATGACAGAAGACATTGACGAACTCTCCTAGGTGGGACAGCCCCACCTCCTGCAAGTGCTGGCGCTCCTCATCGGTCGTGGCCGCGCTGAAACCCAAAGCACCCTGCTCAGTCTGTGCTGGGGTGATGTGAAAGCTTCCCCTGCTCCCACCTCGCTGCTCCTCAGAGCTGGGCACGCTCCTCCCAGCTTTCCTGCCTGACACATGTGCCTTTGTAGCTGCAAGGTGGAGGAGGCCAGAAGGCCTATCACCCCATCCCCTCCCATCACGCACCAACACGCTCCCCTCACAGCCAGCTCACCTGTCCTTCTGGCACACAAACAAATTGAAAGCGTTCTCTGCTCCCAAGAAGTTGTCATCATCCAGGATCTCCACAGCACTCATCCAGTTTGGATTGAAGTCCCGGGCAATCTGGAAGGGGACAAGAGGAGAGGGCAAGTATGTCCAGATGGTCTGTCCGTGATCCAGCATCTTCATTCCACCCATCACCAACATTCAGGAGCAAAGCAGGATCCAGTCTGTCCCTCTCTGCTAGATGAAGCAGCTGAGCAAAAGGCACCAAGTGACTTTTGGAGACGGTCCTGGCCTGAGCGGCACTCAGACAATGCCAGGGCACTCCCCGGGCAAATGCAGACCAGCCCGTGCCAAAGCCATGCCCAGAGCCACTCTAATAGTTTAAGTGCCCAGACTGCCTCACTGCCTGGTGCCTCCCACAGCTACGCTGCATTTGGTGACAGAGATGCAGCTACAGTTGCACTAAGCCATTCCAACTGTACAACAGGCAGTCCAGATGGCAGCTCCCCACCCTGGCAGGCAACAATCATGCACCCAAAGCCAGCTCTTCTCAAGGCTGCTGATTCATTGTTCAGTTTCTTGGAAGTTTCCTGGGGATCCATCCCTCCAGAAATCACAGGGATCTGTCTAAAACCGTGTCCAGGTGACGCTGCTCTCATGGCGCAGCCCTAGAGCCTTGGCTTCAAAGGGCTAGCAAGGTGGGGTGAGCCAGGCTCCTCCTTTTATCACCTTAAACAGTGTTTTCCCTGCCCAGAGCCTATCAGAAGAGGCACCACAAGCTCCCAGCACGTCTTCCACCAAAGCTATTCAACAGCACTGATACCTCCTCGAAGTTTCCTTCCATGGGCTTGTACGCAAGGAGAAGGACAGACCGCATCAGATCTCCCACAAGGATGAAGTCTCCCTTGGTCTTCAGGTAGAGCGCCATGATGTTGTTGTAATGGTTGCATTCTGTGCGCAGCTCTTTCTCTGCTGTCCACTCATACAGGCGCACCTGAAGGAAGGGACACAGCTCTCTGAGCCAGCACGGACACCCACGCCAGCCAAGACACAATCCCCAACAGAGATCGGGAACCTGGCTGACATCCACACAGCTGAAGTGACTTCCAGCTCTGAAAAGCAGACCCAAAACCAGTCAGGAGACTTGTGAGAGCCCTACCGTGCTGTTGATGCTGGCTAACAGCTTCCCGTTGAACTCCACCATGGAATACACAGCCCCCTTGACCTCCTTCTCAGCCAGGCTCTGCAGCTTCCCTGGAAAAAAATGCCTGGTTTTTGCATTTGTCCTGCACTCCCAAGGGTGGCAAGCCCAGGGGGTTCAGACCAGCTGCTCGAAACAACATTGCTCCCCTAGAAACTGTTACAGAGCATCTATGGGCAAGTACCAGAGCAGTGACACCACAGCAGGAGCAGACACACAGAAAGCAAATCCCAGAATCCAGTTCTGGTGAGGGATTCTTGGGCTTCTCTAGGAGATGGGGAGAAAGGGAACATGCTGTGGTGGCCTGCGGTGGAGTAACAGCACCTACAGATGCTGTGTGTGGGCAGCTGACAGCAGGGCCTTTGGGAAAAACCCTCTGCCTGCTACTGGGATGTGAGCTCTCTTGGGCCTGAGGAGTTCATCTCTTATCTCCCTCCAGCAGCTGGAGTCGGCCAGAAGACCTTGCTCTTACCGTCAGAGTAGTGGAAGACAACGATGCGGCCCTGTTTGGGCTCTGCCTCCTCGGGATATACCATGGCGGTGCCCACAATGAAGTAGGTGTTTGGATCCTTGCCAAGCTTGCAGGAGACCAGGCTGAGGGCGTATTCATTTTGCAGAAACTGGTGAGCGTGAAGCACTGTGTAAAGAGGGAAAGGCAGACACAACTGGGTCCCCTCAGTCCCGGTGGATGGCACCTCCAAGCATAAGTAGAGCAGCTTGCCTAGGAGCAGCTGGAAACTTAAGACACATCCAAGGTAGTTGCCTGGAGATCGCCTCTCCTGTTCCTCACCACCACCCTGCGCCATCAGAAAACCACTATGCCTTAAACCTATGGCTGACGCTCCTCCAGGAAAAACACTTTGACTGAAGGAAACATGCAAGATCACAGATCTTCACAAGTCTGTGAAGATCACAAGTCTCAGCCACGCGATGATGGGCTTGTCCTGGATGAGAAAACTAACCTAGGGTACGGCCAAGCATTTTGGACTGGTACCTTCGAAGGTGTGCTGATCTATGATGAGCAGGTTGTGCACCTCTACCTCCTCTCCAAAGGATGTCTCATGTGGTGCTGTGCTGCTGGAGAACAGCTTGCTGGTGCTCACGCTGCTGGACAGGGCCTAGGACACAGTAAGATTGGTCACATCCTTGTGCTACTCAGCTACAGGCTGAGGCACCTGGGGACCTGAAGAATGAATGGGAGAGAAGGTGAAGCAAGGAGGTCCCTGAGTAAAGGGACACCCTTCCCTGCACCAGTAGAGGTGTGTGACGTGCATGGCAGAGGTAGCACTGCTGAGCAACAACATTAATAGAAGAGTTTATGCAGTGTCATGGCTTCCACCACAGCTACCCCCTGAAGAGAACTTGTGCCTCCGTCCCTGGGAGATGGAAACCACTCGAGACCAAACAGAAACCTGTACAGGAGACTTAAGGAGCAACACCCGAAACCAAAGGCGATCTGACAGAACAGTGAACGTGCCCAAGGCTGCCAGAGAGCAACACGCAGAGAGCCCTTGTCACCACCGTGGAGAGATCTTACCACCCCATCTCCTCCCAGGCTGCCAAAGGGAGAGCTTGCACTCAAGAGCTTTGGAAGATGGCCACGGAAAATCTGCATCACAGTTTGACCTGAGGAACTATGATACCTATAGCCCAGATCTCAGGGATGATCTAGCAGCTACCCCTCACCTGGGTGCTGGCGCTGGGTCTGAGCGCAGTGGTGCCCCCACTGGCATCCTGCACTTCGATACGACTTGAGAGCACGCCGAAACACTGTGATACCTCTTGGTAGCAGATCTTCCTGTGGGACAAACAGAGCCGTGTAGGCAGGAGAGCAGGAGAGCCAGGATAGGCCGCTCCAAGGAGAGCACAGAGGGTCTGGAGACAAGAGGCAGAGCTGCTCGCGTGCCCAGACTGCTCTCGGCACAAGCCACTGATTCAATGTGCATCCTAACCGAGCCCATAACAGGGACACTGACTGTGAAGTCTTCTCCCAACCATGTCCCATGCAGCAGAGCGTGGGCCCTCATGCCAGGCTCCCTCCTCCTGCTCAGCTCACCTGGGCGACTCATAGAGGGGAACCGTGCGGATGTGCAGCTTCTGGATCTCGTCAATGGTGCCAATTGTCAGGGTGCTGTTGTTGGCCAACGCCAAGCTGCACGGGGGAAAAAAAACACACAGGCAACTGCACTTATAAGGTGGGTGGCACAGCAAGAACCTCCCTCTCCTCCATACCCCTCAAAAACTGCTGATCCCAGGATCCCGTTTGCTGATCCCAGGATTCCATTGTGGAGTGCAAACCTCCCCCACCCTGTGTCACACAAGGCAAGGTGCAGGCTCACCTGTCGGGATACCCATCCGAGTTGAGGGGACACATGTAGTTCACCTCCTTCAGGTTGACATTGGAGAAGACCAGCTTGTGGTTACTGCTGTAGATGACAGTGGGGCGGTCAGAGCAGGCAAACACATTGGTGGTGGACAGAGAACGGAAAGTCCTCAGGACGGTGGGCTGGGTCCCAAGGGTCACCTTCTTCCGGTCGCTCAGCAAGCCTGCAGGAAAAGAGCACCGGTGTTGGGAGCTGCCGCAACAGAGCTCACAAGAGCAGGACCGCAGAACACAACATGGCAACACCTTGGGAAGAAATGAGCGTGGGTAAACGCATCCTGCCATCAGCAAAGGGCAGCAAAGGAATGGATTTAAGCATCCACCAACTCCCAGTACCTGCAGCCAGTCCCACTTGTCATAGCGAGGAAGCAAGAAAGAGAGAGATCTCCAGAAGGATGAAAGAAAGCATGTCAACCAAGTAGGAGGGCATGAGTCCAGCCACCCTCTCCAGCAGCCCGCTCAGTGCTAGGCCCTGTAGTCACCTGTCTCGAGGCTGAGCCCAAAGTAGAAGAGAGCTCCGTCCCCCAGGGCACACAGAAGGTAATGGCTGCTCTCGAAGGTTGTCATCAGGATGGAGCGAGGGATAATTTCTGCAGGGAGCAGAAGAGAAGACTGATGTCACTCACGACTCGGCCAGGTCAGTGACCACTGCCACCCACCAGCAGCTCCAGGAGAACCCTACCTCCTCCCAGCATCTCTTTGTGCAGCAGTTCGAATGAAGGCAGCTTTAGGATGCGGGCAGAGATGTCAGTCCAGAGCCCGATTGCACACAGTGGGGACATGCCGTTAGTGTCCCCTAAAGGGGTGATGTCCAGGCAGGCAACTTCATGCTCCATTTCTGTGCAGCTGGCAGGAAGGAGGAGGCAGACAGAGGTGTCAGTCTTGAGCCCAAAGACAGGACAGCATAGCCTGAGAGCTCTCAGGCCAGGATGAGACACGTCCACCCACCTGATCTGCCTGAGCTCCTGGGGTCGGATCTCCAGGTAGTATAGGGCTCGTCCCACAGCCACCACGACTTGGTTACTGTTACAGGAAGCCACACTGATGTTCTTTCCGTTGGGCTCTTTCCATTCGCTCACCAGAGCTTTGGGCTCCTGACTAACCAGTCTCACAGAGGCAGAAGTGATCTGGGGAGAGAGAACCCCTCTGCTCAGAGCCAGAACAACACCTCCCTTCCAACAGTGCTGCAAGGAAGTACTGCAAACCCTGCCCCTGACAAGCAACACAGATCCAGGTTAGTCCCTCAATCAATAACAGCTGTAGGGTCACCATGAGAGACATATCTGTATTTCCCTAGAACCAGCATTACCTGGATCAATTGCTGATGTGCCACATTGCCACAGAAGAAAGTCTGCTGATCATCCACAAACCCTGTGAGCTCCGTCTCTTCTACTTCCTCTCCATTTAACATAAGGACCCTGAACAGGAAAGGGAGCTCCTGTTATAACATGGTACAAAGCATGGCTGAGAGCCTGGTTCAGCATTAAACCCACTTTACCTGGTCTGGCCAACAAAGGACAGCACCAACGTATTGTCTGTTTCACGATGAGAGTCCGACCTCAGAGGCCACAAGCCTGCAACAAAGAGAGGCCACGTTTGCTCACAGTGAATATTCCAAAAGCTGGTCGGTGGCAAGCCCCCTGCCCCACACCCCAACCTCAGTCTGCGCACACGACGTGTCCCCACTGGGCCCTCTTGGGCTGCGAGTTGTGTCTGACAGCACTGAACAGCTCGCGCACCTTTAATCCCCGGCAAGTCGATGCTGGCATGCTCATGAATCCCAATGCCGTTCCGGATGATCCGCAGTGAACCCTCTTTAAACGCACCCGAGCACGTGACCAGCTGGAGGAAAAGCAGATGATCTTTACCAACCATTGCTGAGAAGCTTCCCCACTCCTCCTCCTGGCAGTGATAGGTTCAGAGGAAGACGGAGTACTCATCTTCTCCACTTCTCAGAGGAAGTTTTTTGGCAGCTGATCCTTCCCAATGCATGAAGGCAACCCCTTCCTCATGGACAGGGGTAGCCAAGAATTACCTCCCACTTATAACGCTCTTCACTGTAAGACCTCAAAACCATCCCTGCACCTGGATAACGCTTTGAGATCCTCTAATAAATGATTTGCAGTCTTTTCCTTCCGTGTACAACCCACGCATACATCTGGCCAGCCCAGACATCCCCAGAACTGAGAAAAAGAGAAGTAGAATCAACATTACCTGCCCTTGACCTTGTCTTTCCAGGTCTACCACACACATGTCAACGATGGGACCGAGGTTGGTGAAGGTCTCCATAGCCACCACGTAGGAGCCCTGCTCGTTGCTGTCCACATTGAGCTATGGATAAACACAATCATCGGCTTTCAACAAGCAAGACCAAGCAAGTGGAAAGGATGTAGAGCAGACAAGGAGAAGAAAGGAAAATTTACATCTCTGGAGGCCATGACGAAAATAAATATGTACAAAATCCTCTCTGAACACACAACTAAGCCAGAAGACAGCTGCCACGTACCTTCACGAGCTGGGAATCCCCAAGCCGAGAGCCGACAAACACAACTCCGTTGTCTAGGTAGGTCAAGCACTCTGCAATGGATGTCTGAGAATTGAGAAGACACAGATGAATCACCACCAGCGTGAAAAGGACACTACCACACCCCGCAAGGACCACATCTGAGCTGCAGCCCAACAGGAAGACCCAGGGCACAGGAGGGGAATTTAATCCCTTTACAAAACCCACACAGAGTCCAAACTTCTTCCAGGAACAATGCACAAGCACTAGGCAAAAACTCAGGAAGATGGTTTAAACTTTCAAGTGCTCAGATAGGGAATTTCCCAGCAACCGACCGTTAAGAGTTGTGACAACTGTGAAACTTCACCCCGTCCCAGGCTCCGAAAGAGACACCGTTCCCCAGCAGAGCATTTCCAGCCTGTGGAACCTCCCAGTCCCGCAGTGAGAAGCAACAGAGACAGCGCACACGGTGTGGCCGAGTCCTACCTCGCCAAGCAGTTCCACGCGCAGGTCCTTCAAGGTGACAGTGCCGTCCATCTGTTCCTCCTTCTCCAGGAGCAGCATGAAGAGGCGACCTTCCATGTCCCCCAGCAAGTAACGAGACCCATTGGGATCCACACGGTTGTGGCACACAATCGTACTTTGCTGCATGCAAAAGAGGAGCGGATTTTTAGGAACATGTTGAAAGAGCCCCAAACAGGAATCTAGCAAGGACGACCTGTGTACACGCCAGAAGGGAACAACGACATCCACAGCGCACCAGCTGCTGCCAGGGCTCTCCTCTCGCCTAGAGGGAAAGGGCTGGATTCATCCTTCAACAAACTGTATCAGCGAACACAGCCAGAATCTGCGGTCAAATGGTCTCACTTTTGGTCACTAGGAATCACCTCATGTTCCTAAATTAAACGTGTCACTAGCTTGTTCACAGCCCAGGAGAGATGCCATTGGAAAGTCTATTTTTCTAACACTAAGGCTTCCACAGATGTAGGGATGCTACCTGGGACCTGCAGAGCTCCAAGCTTCCTCCATCTCCAGACCCAAGTTCTGCAGATGTTTTACTCTGTTGGTGGATGCTGCCTGGCCTCCTGTCAACATATTTGGCTGCAGTTTAAAAATCCTGATCTTGCAGATGGTTCTTGTATGCAAACATCCCGCTGGCCTTGAGTACAGATGTGCCTGCACTCTGCTCGCAGGTCAAGGCCCAGATCTGCACGTCAGCAGAGCACAGGCAACTCGCTCCGCCTGTTCCCATATAACAGATTATCCATCACAGACCTCCAGCAGTGGTCTGAGAGCCTGTAGGCATTCAGTCAACAACATTAGTATTTCTTTACCCAAGATTTATAGCTCTTTTCTAGCTCGTCATTATTTCCAGCTTAAAAGGACCTTTTGATCGCAGCTCAGGCCCTCTTTCAGCCCCGAGCGGCACCTCAGCCGTGCCATTTGTGCTTCCTGCATCGTTTAAATGTGGGAACCGGCCCATCCCTCTGACAAAAAACACAAGCTCCACTTCTGTCACAAACTCTGTAAGTCTTTTTTCCTTTGAACAAGTGCCCCAATCATACACGGGTGGACTCAAGTCTCCAAGGAGCTCAGTCATATCTTTTCCTGCCTGAAAAGAAACCAGGCTTTGGCCTGAATCCATGCCCAAACAATGCACTACCTCCTAATTAATCCCTTTCTCTGAAGCCCAAACAAGATTTCGGGTTTGCTGCACCATTTTCGAGCACTCCAGAGAGAGCAGAGCCACACACTGCACTGCAGGCACACGCTGCCACCAGTACAAGGATCACGTACCTCCCTCAGTCCATAAAAACACAGACCAGGCATTGTACAAAACACCCACGTATGCCAAACCTCTGGGAGTAAGTGGCCCTATTAGACTACACCTGGAGACAAGAGCAGCTTCAATTCCTGACTACAAGTAGCCCAAGACCCTCCTAGCACTCTCAGAAATGCCTGGAAACAGAGGAATTACATGAGACACATCTCTAGATCTCAGTAGTTACTCACCTTGATGATAGGTGGAGCTATAGCCAGATATTTATCTCCGTTGTGATAGGTGATAGACTCCTGCCCAATGATGATCGCGCCTCCAAAAGGCTCTGGCACTGCGCAGAGGAGAAGATAAAACGTCCTATTATAGAACCTGTGCAGCACAACTGAGGCAATTCAGCCTTGAGGAAGAAACGTGAGGGAAGATCTTTTACAAAGAAGGAGGACCAACCTGCGATGACCATGGAGGCTTCAGCCTCTACATTCTCCTGCTTCCAAGGACCTTTGTTAAACTCCTTCTCGCGCAGAGACACCTCGTACGTCTTGACATGGCGACCCTGAGGGTCCTGAAAGAGAAGTCACAAATGACCACGTATGCTGACGACAGCCTCACATGCACAGCAATGGAGATTCCAGAGGCAGAGCTGACCAGCAACCTGTGAAGCAAGGAGACTCCACCTCATCTCATGGAAGAGCACCATCACCAGCGAGCTGCTGAGGCTTCCCACCCTGCCCACCTCCTCTTCAGCCTCCCCCAAACCGCACGCATGTCTGAATATACTCGCACTAATGTTCTCCCTAATTTTATCCGTACATAGAACAAGCTTTGATTAAATCCCTGTGCCAAAAGAGACTGAAAACTGGTTTTGCATTTTTATACAAATGACTTTCTGGGACTCGCGTTCATCTGATGCTCAGCTCCACAAATCTAGGCACGAGTGGTGCTACGCAGTATCGCCACCGCCTCCAGCTCCAGCAAAGCGTTCAGGAATTCAGCTCTGCTGTAGCGGCGCAGGTGCCAGAGCAGCTGAGCTCTCTTTTCGATGCTCCTCAAGCGTTTCAGTCTGGTTTCCTGAGGAAACATAATCTGCTTGCTGAATAATTCCCCGACAGCTCTGCCATTCCAGTTAACTCCTAGCCCAGTGGACAATTTCGCAGAATCGTAGAATGGGCTGGGCTGCAAGAGACCTCAAAGATCACCTCACTCCAACCCCCCTGCCATGGGCAGGGACACCTTCCACTCAATCAGGTTGCTCAAAGCCTCATCCAACCTGGCCTTGAACACTTCCAAGGATGGAGCAGCCACAACTTCTCTGGACAACCTGTGCCAGTGCTTCAACACTCTTACAGTAAAAGATTCTTCCTTATCTCTAATTGAAATCTGCCCTCTTTCAGTTTAAAGCCATTGCCCCTCGTCCTATCACTACACGCCCTTGTAAAAACTCCCTCTCCAGCTTTCTTGTAGGTCTCTTTTAGGTACTGGAAGGCTGCTAGAAGGTCTCCCCGGAGCCTGCTCTTCTCCAGGTTGAACAACGTCAACTCTCTCAGAGGTGCTCCAGCCCTCGGATCATCTTTGTGGCCCTCCTCCGGACTCACTCCAGCAGCTCCATGTCCTTACGTTGGGGGCTCCAGAGCTGAAGGCAGTACTGCAGGGAGGGTCTCATGAGAGCAGAGCAGATGGGCAGAATCGTCTCCCCTGACCTGCTGGCCATGCTGCTTTGGCTGCAGCCCAGGATATGGTTGGTAAAATATTTCAACCAAACCTGATGCACACAGAGGTCTCCAAGGTAGCGAGTCCAGGCAGGACACCACCGAAATACATGGTGGTGGAGAAGAGGCCCCCAAATCAGCACCCTGCTACAGGAAAGGTGGTCTACGCTAACAAGCGCTTGGGAACTCACTTTCTTAAAAGATGTACGAGCACCCAAAGCACAGAGAGGGCTTTGAACATAACCCACTGACCAATTTTATGTCTCAAAAGCTAAGGCAAAGTTCTAAAACACAGGGAATCAGGCTTCCTTAGTCACGTTGTTGACAGAACTACTTAAAAAGAGCTGTTCATCTTTTTACTTATTATGCCTCACCACTTTCCACATCTGAGTAAAAGCATTTTTTGCCTCCCTGTAGCCCTCAGCTCTATAAACAAACTCTCCCAGGAAAGCTGGGCACCTCCTGGCTCACCCCTCACAGCCTCTGCTGCTTGGCAAACATCCTCACTGACGACTCTCCAGAGTCCGAGGTCCTGGCAAGAGCTAGCGGCGCAGCACCAAGGGAAGCAAAGAGCAGTACTGGTTGACAGAGAAGGGGAAGCCAGGAGCAGAAATAGCTGTGTGGGAGGGGAAAGTTGAAGTGGGGCTGTTAAAATGACAGAGAAGTCATTAATGAAAATTTTGACGTTTCTGAACCTTTTTACTCCGCACCACGACAGCTCTCAAGCCTTTTTTTTTATTTTTATGAACTTCCCCTTTTTGTGGTATCTTCCTCTGCTCTCAGAGCTACACAAAAATTATCTCAGACACTCACTGCTATTCTGTTCAGTCCAAATCCTGTGATAATGATTAATAAATTGAGAAGGAATCAAAGCGGCAGCTTGGAAACATTCACCTCTCCACACACAGGCAAGTCAGACACCCAGGGACCAAAACAAAGCCAGAGTTTTATGTAAGCCCTAATAAGTCAGAAGGAACTTACATTTCACTCCTGCTGCAAGCATAAAATTCATATTAAGAGCATTAGACATGGAGCAAGCTATTAATTTGCTCTTTATTAGTATAATACCTGTTTATAACAAATGAACCATTAACAGATCCACTCTTGTTTAATTTGTAAAGGTGTCAGAACTCGAGATAAGACATTTTTTACTTGCTGACTACGTGAGATGACCAAGTTCCTCCTTTACGATGCTCTGGAGCACTGAGTGGAAACTGGCGCGCTCCTGTCCAGACCCTGACACCGAGTTTAAGAATTTGTCCAAACCGCCACCCCTCCCTGCCTCAGTTTCCCCAGCACGCAACAGCAACGGTCCTAACCAAACTCAGGGGTGCGCTCATCGCTTTTCAAAGCGGCACACCACCACTGCTAGGCATCCTAGCTTTGGGGAAGCCACCCAGGCAGCGAGTCAAACCCAGAAACGCACCACAAGCCAGTCACCCTTATTGCTTACTCCTAGAGCAAAGACTGGCTACGAGCTTCCCTTCCGACGCCAGGTTTCAAAGTCAGAGTGGCTGCGTGGGGTGAAAACACGGTCCCTGTGTGCTGTGAAAGTGTGCACGAGACAGCTCTCCAGGTCAGGCTCCCCTCGGACGTACAAGGGATCACGACTCCCTTCTCCCCTAAACAGGAGAGGAATGGCAGTGCTTTTTGTGGGAAAACAGTGCTTGTTCCTACGCATTAGCAATAGCTAAAAATCCTTTGCTTTTTCAGGTCGAGCCTCTTAACCAAACCTCTCCCTGTCTTCTTTTTTTGTGCACACCATTGAATTGTCTTGCAGGTGTCTGCGAGGCAGGCAGGACACGTGACAGCTGGGGACACTCCTCGGCAAGGCTGAAGAGAGCACACTGACGTTTGTTCAGGTGATGAGGGAGAGCACTAGCTACAAACGGGGCATGGGAAGAGCACTATCCTGACACGGGGGGAATCTGGGCCAACCTCCCTAGTTACGTGGTGACAAAGTGATTTTTTCCTCCCTGTCTCTACTCAGTAATTGTCAGGGGGGTTCAACAGCACCCAGCCCTCTTGAAAATACTAACAGCGATTTTTGAAACAGATAGGGAATAATCAAGCCGCTGCTGTCATGTGGTTTGTAGTGGCAAATTCATACCATGAGAGCTAAGAACTACGCTGAAGCTGAACTAAATTCACACCAGATCCTGCACTGCCATCTCAGGAACTTTCAGCTCAGGCAAGGCTAGCCCCAACTTTGACAAAGCAAAGCTAATCCCTCGCTCAGTCAGCATGGCAAAGGCTCTTTGGCTCAAAATAAGCATCTAGAGAAGGGCCTACAAACACTGCCTCTGTGAGGACCCAGGCAAAAGGAGAGGTTATGGCCTCTCTTCACGCTCCCGGAGTGGCCTTCCAGACACCAAACAAGACATATTGCCTTTTTTTTTTTTTAAGGGGAAGGCTCAAGTCTCACAGCAGTGCCTATAGGACAACAACTGACTCCGGCTCTAATCCACCTGTTCAGCACTTGCTGGAAAGACCTGTGCTCTCCTCCTGAGTGCTTAGCAAGGAAATGGCCCCATGCACAGCATCAGTGGCCCAGCTCTCCTGCGGGAAAGGATTGCTTCCCCTCTCCCAGAAATGGAAAAAAGCAGCACAGAAGAACATGGACTTTCCTCAGCTACACAACGAGCCTGCAGGAGCCAGAACTGTCTCTTGCTCTGTACAAAGCACTGCTTTCCATTGGCTCCAGGACACTGCTGCTGCTTCAAGCCCTTTGGAAGACGTTTAGAGTCCTCGGCTGGTGCACCACCAATCTCCAGCACCCTCCGCCTGAGTCACCGATTGAGCACAAGGTACCTGGTAGACGAAGCAGATGGTCGGAGCCTGACAGCCATAAAGAAACTTCACATCGATGACTTGGAGCTCTTCCAGGCGGATGTTAAAAGCCTTTAACTCCTTGTTCTCCCGGTCCAGGGGAATGACCTTGAAGAGGCCGTCATAGAGCCGCAGGCCGATCATCCGGCACTCTGGGTCAATGATGCCAATTATGCCGGTCTCTGAGGGACGGCCGATACGATCCTGAGTGAGAAAGGGGAAAGAGAAGGGTCGATTAGCATCAGAAGAAGATCCCTGCGTGGGACTCAGGAATAGTAGGTACAAGAGTTACCAGCCCTCGGCTGAGGAATGACTCCCTGCACACCTCCCAACAGGCTTTAAAACACTGTCTGGCACAGCAAAGGCGATTCAGGCACCTCCTGCCTAAAGCAGCAGGTCCTTTCTACCAGCGAGCCTGGCAGAGCTCCCACAGCACACTTTCTCTCTCCCAGAAATCAAGCACTCCAGGAGCAGACACTGCAACTAGTTTTTTAATCCCAACTCTCTACTGACTGACCTCGGAGAAGCCACGTTGCTGTCTGGCGCCTTCGTTTCTGTTGCTGACAGAGAGCGATGCTCTCCGCTGCTGTGAAGTGCTTTGATATCCACGACCAAGAATCACCCTCCAGAAATCCAGCCCCGTTATCAGCCTCCACAGACCCCTCAGCGTTACTTGGCAGAGGCTGATATCAGCACCTCCACGTGTCATGAGGCAGAACTGTGGCAGGGGAAGATTAAGCACTTTTCCCCAAACACACTAACAAATTCCTGACAGGACTTGCCCACCTACACCTCCTGCCTGTAACCCCCTGCTCAGCTTCACCAACAGTAAGTCAGCAGAAGCTCGGTGCCTGGAAACAGATGGAAGATGTTTTGGTTTGACAGTTGATGGAAATCATTGGGCTAGCGACTAATAAAAAGCCACAGACACGTGGATTTCTGACCTGCTCAGAAGGTGTGATTTTAATCCACATAAAACAGAACAATGGAGAACAGCCACAACTACTAACACGGGTGTATGGCCATGACGTTAAGAGTAACTTCAGCAGGCATGCTTCTGGTATGCAGCGTGTAGAGACTGGCTGTGAAATACCAGAGGAGTCATTTCCCAGGGAAAATTCTACATTACAGTGAGTTTTGAGTGCTAATTCTCAGTAGGAATATGTCAAATTAACCTTATTATTCTGCAAACTACCCCAAAGACAAAATTGTAGCTGTTTCCTCAGTCCCTGAGCCCAGAACTGACTCACTGCAGGCAAAAACCTCTGGCAATACCAGTGGCAGCAGGTGAACCACACTAGAGTCAGGGGTAGGCAAAGAATCATAAATAACAAAGCAGAAACACATCACCTAGGTGCACACTCATCACCAGAAAAGTAAAATCATCCCCAAGAAGGGAATTCGCCCCTTCCGGGTGCTGCAGCTTCACTCACCTGCACGTTGCCATGGGCACGGGTTATAATGTCGATGCTGTCCCCATTCTGCTTGTACTCAAGGATGCAGGCGTTATACTTGGCTGTCAGGATGAACAACAAATCCTTGCTCTCCCCCTGCCAAAGCAGAGTGGTAGCTTGCCTTCAGGAGGGTGTCAGAGGCAGTGGCCCCAGCACACCCACTCCTGCCCTCCCCAGCTGGCAGGCAGCCCCCTCCCCGCAGCACACCCACCTTGGGGCGGAAGAGCTCCATGACGGCCGTCTTGCCGTACATCCCCACCTCCTTGACGGGCCGCAGTCCCTCCGCTGTCACCACATAGATCTCCAGTCGTGTATTCTTGGCGATCAGCAGGTTCAAATCCTCCGCCGAGGTGAAGTGCCCTGAAAAACAGAGAGAAGAAATCACTGTTGAGCCACAAAGAAGCAACAAGGCGGCACCTTGCGGGGTTCTCACTGAAAAACCTGCAGGAACCTGCCGATCTTGGGGAGTCTGGCCCGCATCCTCACAGCCTCAGACAGAACACCAGCCTCCCTGCAGCACCCCCTCAGCCACAGCATCCCGAAACCCCAGCACCTTCCTCCCACGACATCCAGCCTGCTCAGTGATTGCCTTCCCTGAGGTCTGACTTCTCACTTTTTCCCAGGAAACCCCACTCCTGAAGGCCCTTTCCTCCACACTCTCTTCAGAGTACACTGCAACACCCCAAACCACTTTGCAATAAGGCAAGAACAGAGATAGACATCACCACCACCTCTCCCCACAGCACCCCAACCCTCTGCTGCTCTGTAACCTCCCCAGGAGCCCCACTTCACCCTCACACACCAAAACCCTACTGAGCTCTCTCAGAAACCTCAAACCAGGCCCAGATCCACCAGAGAAGCCCCACTGCACCCCCAGCACCTCCAGGAACCCCAGTGCAACCCCAGTGCCCCACACCATCTCCATGAACCTCAATGCGTCCTCAGTGCCCCACAGCACCCCCTAAGACACTCAAGGCACCTCCGGCTCCCTCAATGCCCCGCAGCATCCCAACAAACCTTAAGGCCTCCCTCGGCTACCTCTGGTGCTCCACAACGCGCCTACGAAACCTCAAGGAACCTCCAGAGCCCTCAGTGCCCCCGCAGCCCCCGCCTTGATTCCCC